TACTGCACAACACAGGGTTTCCAGCATCTGAAGGGACATAAAATTAACTATGCCACGTTTACAAAATGGAAAAGGAGGATATTTAAGTCAGTACCTTATAGTCTGTAGCAAAAACTTGCACCACTGCAACACATCCAAACACAGTTCAAACAATGCAATGTATAGTACACCCAGCAAGCCTTAGAGGCCAACTCTCTCCCATACTGTAAGCCTCCATGCATGTGCTACAGAGCAGATGTTCATGTTGCTGATTTCTCAGCAGCATCCAAAGTCACAAAAACAATGAGCAACTCATGCAGCTTTCTCCCACACAATTGTTCTATTTAAACAAAATATGCTGGGCCAGAAAAATGTTCTGAAGATGTACTATAGCTTATATAACCTTTGCCAGAGTCTGTCTTGTGGCCTTTATTCTGTCAAACAATGTATTCCAGTCACATGATGGACGACAAGTTGGTGTCCATTTGGGAGGGACAGAAAAGAACAACCTGCTGTAATACTGGAATAATTTAATCAAGTCTAGAGTCTGTTTCAGCATGTTGCCAAACACCTCTAGGAAACACAAAATCAGGAATGTCCATTGTATCAGAGGAACTGTAGTGAAAGCACCACAATCTGTGTACCCTATCACATTCAGAGACTCATTACAAAAGCATTATAGAGCATACAAGAGATGGAGTACCAGACATTGAGTTACTGTCTTTCCCTATGAACAAAGGCAGTCTCCACTAAATTCTGTTTATCTTCTCCTCCTATAAAATATAAATATATTGTTGCCTACCACTCTTTCAGGGTTGTTACAATGATTACATACTCGATATTTAGGAAGCCTTTGAGGAGAAAAAAAAAAGATGAAATAAAATAACTGGTAAAGATTAGAACAGTTATTAAAGCACAAGAACATATCAGTTATCTCCCAAAGCAATAATTTTAAAAAATAAATATTAATAGCATTTTTATCTCTAAAGATTCTGCTTTGTTACTGAATAAAAAGAATTACATATAATGAATACGAGGTAAACAATGTGAAACATGAATTTTCACTTAAGAATGGCACAGCAAGTTTTTACAAGTCCTGATACCACAAACCCTTAAATTTAGCTCATACGATTATTTGCATGGAAGTCATGGAATCTTTTTATAATTTGGAATAACACATAATAGTAATATAGAATACAGAATAGAACGTGCTCAAATGTACTTGCAAGAAATTAACATCAATTATCACTACCTTTTACTTCAACCACACATGTGGGAACCTCCAGGCTATTCTAATCTTTCAAGCAGTGGTTCACAGTTAGCTACCGTGCACAGCACATTTTAACACTTTTAACTTTGTGAGAAAGGATCAAACGTAAGGATCAAACAAGAAGAAGAAATGTAAATGAGCATTATAATTAAATATCAATGTCGTGTAAAAGAAGGAATATTTTCTTTTTAATCCTCTTTACTTTTTTTTTTTTTTTTAAAGTTGAAGAATTTGTATTTAAATCCAAGTATGCTGAAGAAAGATAACAACAACAACAAAACACTTGTACTTTTACTATCACTTATGATGGTGTGTGCCAAAATGTTTAAACAAAGTTATTCTTACACTAAGATAAACAGCTGATATGTTTTTTAAACCAAAAGTCACAGTTTGGTGGCTTTTTAAATCAATATTCCCAGTAATTGCTGGGAAAACACAGTTCAATCAGCTGCAATGGACACCACTGAGATACTGAGAGAATAACATGAATTCTCAGTGGACTTGAGCTAAATGTAAAAGAAAGCCTATGCCAAAACAACAGGGAATTCCAAAAGGATTGCAGACTTCCACAAAGAAGTGCTTCAAGTCCTTATTAGATTACAAAACACAACACTTGGCATGAACATATATCTACAAAATGAGTTCCGGAATATTTTCAGTTACAGATCTTAATTGCACTACCTTTAATTTGCATTACCCATATTTACAAATACACGTGATTTTACAGCTTCAGTTTAGTCATGAAGTTACTTTCCACCATGAGGCTATCTGTTAGTAATGCATTTCAGCCACTTGCATAACTGAACTAAACTTACAAAATTACCAGTGTTAACAGCCCTCCAGTGTGCCCTACATTATACATAAACCAAAATAAGAGTGCAGCCCCATAATATTCTTTTTCATCTTTACAAATATAATTTTTCTGAAATGTACCCTTCCTCCTAGAAGTGTAATAGCTTATCTGATTCTTCTGCTGGAATGTTCCTGAATCAAGTAATAGAAGGCCTCAACAGGGGGGATGCAATAATAGACCTATTGCTCACCAATGCAAATGAACTGACTGGTGACACGAGGATTGGAGACTTCCTGGGTTGTAATGTCCATGCAATGGTGGAGCTCATGCTCCAAAGAGTTAAGACATGCAAAGAGGAAGCTATAAGGAAGCTGCTAGGCTCTGCAGGGATGCAGTCAGGAAAGCCAATGCCCAAAACTTAGCAAGGGATATCAGAAAGAACAAAAAAGGTTTCTACAGCTACTTCAATCAGAAAAGTTAAGTCCAAGAGGGTGTACCCACCCCCTCATGACACAGCAAGCTGCTAACAACAGACAAGGAGAAAGCTGAGGTACTTATCAACTTTCTTGCTTCTGTCTTCTCTGACAACTGCTAGCCATGCAGCCCTCAAATGTTTGTTTTGGTAGGAAGAGATTGGGGAATCAACGTCCCTCCCACTGCAGGAGAAGATCAAGTTCATGAGCGCCTAAGGAAACTGAAAGTCCACAGGTCTATGGATGCCAATGAGATGCATCCCAGAGTCCCAAGGGAATTAGATGATTTAGTCACCAAGACACTCTCAATGATATTTGAAAAATGGAAATCAAGTGAAGTCTCCAGTAAACGTGTTGCCATCACACCCATTTTTAAGAAGAGGATAACAATTACAGAGGGAACTACTGACCTGTCAGTCTCACTTCAATGCTGGGAAAGATCACAGAGAAGTTTCTCCTGGAAGCTTTGCTAAGGTACATGGAAGACAGGGAGGTGATATGGTAGAACCAGCACGACTTCCAAAGGAATAAAATCATGTGTTATCAATAGTGAAATTTGTTTTCGCAGAATTCAGACTTACAAGCACGAGGCTTTGTATTTTATTTTATTTTTTTTTTTAAGAAAGGGCTGTATAAGCAATGAATAATGAATACTAAATGGAACAAGTGATACAGCTATATGCAACAATTCCCTGCAATTTACTTATGGCAGAAAGCCATGATTTGAAAGTACCTAGACTGCAAGTGTAAAAAGCATCAAAGCAGTTAATAGATTAATGCAGTACATAAGAAAATTCAATTGCAACATCATGCAGTTACTGATCTGGAAAAAAAAGCAATGAAAGATAACTATGCTTGCTGACAGAAACTTAAGTTCTTTATTTTACCTTCGAAAGAAAATAAATGCCCTTCCTGTGGCACAATTTGTTATAATTTCAAGTTTTGAGCAGTTCTGCAGGGTGTAACCTAATAATTATATAAAATATAATATGTAAAATGCCAGCAAAAGGGGAATGAGATTTAAAACAAAAATCAGACTTTCAGAAAAACAGCACTCTCAAAATAAACAGATCTACATTGACCATCCTATCAGTGTTTGTTACTATAGCATGGCTACATCATAATCACTGTAACCATAGTTACTTATTGAGTATGCCATGATTTTCCTCCAGAATCTCAGAATTGCTTATATAACACTCTAATCAAACCAAAGGTCCTCTTTGTGACTCTTCAATTCAAAGCTGATTTTGTATGAACTTGGCAGGTTTCAATGAAACATGGTAGAAAAATGTTCTTGGTTTTGCGTGGCATAAAACCAGTATAGCGGGGTAGATGTACAATCAAGCCCTCATTTATCATAATGAAACAAACCCAAAGAAAATAAAACAAAAAAACACTTTTTTTTTTTTTTTTTTTTTTAACATAGATAACATTCTGCATAAATGTCAAAGCATGAGACAGGATAACTTTGTTCATATTACCTTTCTAGCTATAAATACTCCTAAGGTTTCAAGTGCCTACAGGGAAAGACCTACACACAGGAGAAGCGAACTTATACTGGCTACCATTCACCTCAATATATCTGAATATGTTAATAAAAGGGTCTATTCTGTGGGTCATACATCATGAAGCTAATAACCTCATTCACCTTCTCCCAGTGAACCTTTCAAATGCCACAGAATTCTACTTAGTTCTACTTCAGAGAAGTCCTGTGGTTTATAGCAACAAAAGAACTTTTTTTTTCCACACTGACAAAGTTGGAAAGTACTAAATTACAGGAGAAAATAAAGAGATAACACAGCTACAGACTAGTTACAGTGCTCACTGGGATCCATGGATTAACTCTGGAATAACAATTGATTCTGTGGAGATTGCAATGTCCTCAGCTACAAACAGTGTGGCTTCCTGTAAGAGGAACTACTTGCCCCACTGAGACACAGAAGAGATCCAGCCTATTATGTCTTCTTTCTTGTAAACACAAATGCATGCATCAAATTTAAAATTTGGGAGAAGGAGAAAAAAACAACCAACAAACAAAAAAAACAACACAGAACATGGTATGTATTAATTCAAAATTGTTTGAACAATTCTTTTTTTTTCCTCTCTAATCAGCAGCATGGTCCAACACTGGAACACACTGCCCAGACACATCAACAGTCCACCTTTGCACAGACTCTCAAAACTCAACTATGCCACATCTAGAGCAATCTACTCCAGTTGACTGTTTATGTAGGAAATTGAATTAATTACTTTAATCACCCAAAATACGGGATTTTGAAGCAGCTAGCAGCTTCCTCACACATACATATGACCCTCATGACATCAACTTCTGAAAATTACTGTTTTGCACAGCTACTGGATACTCAGATTTTAAGAACAGGAAGCAGATTCAAACTACGCTTGATGGAATATTACAGTTCTTATCTTAATCAATAATTTAGATTTAGAAATTAGATTTTAGAGAAAAAATATTTTTTCCGGTTACCCAGCAGTTCCATTGCATCATCTTCATTGTCAATATCTTCTTCAGTTACAGATGGAGCTGTGCTGTGAGCAGAATCAAAGGAGTCTTGAGAAAGCATGGCAGCCAGCAGTTTCTTATGTTGCTGCTGTTGCTGTTTTAGTCCTTTAGTCTTTGGCTCCATTTTTAAGCTGTGAGGGAGGAAAGCACAACTTCGTCTTACTGACACTCTCTACAAACCATGTCACACATTTTTCAAATTACTGCATGCCATGATGTCATCTACATCTGATTAACACCATCAGACCACACATAAACCTGCTAGCTAACACTCACTCACTGATCACTCAATATTATAAATCAGTTTTTGCTTACAATTCCTATCTAAAGTTTTGACTGAATGATGATGGGAAATACCTACTGTCTTTATGGTCATTTGATGAAGTTTAAACAAGTTACATAAACACGACAACAAGATATCAATGACTTATTTTTAAGACTTACTACTTATTTTTAAGACACTGGTCACACAACAACAATACTGAGATGGTTATAACAATACTACAGCATTAAGGGCTAGATAGTTACAACAATCTTCCTTGTGGTTTCATGTGTCCCTAATCTAAATAAAAGACACCTGGAACTGCAGAGAAGTTAGCAGAAATGTCTAAGGCAGGAATTGCTGTAGTTACCAATTTTTGATTCCTTCCAATCCCAAAAAGCATGGGAACACCTGCCTGTTGCAGGAAGATGGATCTTTTGCAAAAGTATGAAATACAGTATAATCAGTAGTTCATTTTTTCCCTGCAAAGATAAACCCTAATAAGATAGAGCGGACCTTGGGGATGAAGAACAAGCTCTGAGTTTAGAATGTGGTTATGGATGCAGCCTCTCTGTGAGCTTTAGTTTGTAACAGGCTTTGAGAAACAAGAACATCATATTAAAAATCACCCAAATTCTCCATTGTGTATACATGTTATCTCTTAAGGAAGTTTCCCAAAGGCCATTCTTCTCAGAATATCCACAATATTTTTTAATGTAAAAAAACTAACAGTGACATGGGGTATAATCCTATCTTTTGGTTCCTGAATTTCTGAAAAAGGAGCTCAGTATCAGCAGGGTCGCCATCAGCACTTCTGTACAGTCCTTTATCACATGTTAATACCTTGTCTTATTCCCTTACAGCAGCAACAGAGAGAAGTGCTCAGAACTAAATCTCTTTTTTCTTCCATCTAGAAATCAGCTTATTTCTGCTCCTTCCTATTGAGAGAAGGGATACAATATCCTTAAGTTCCTCTACAACATGTAACAAATCTTTATCCAGTGTCCTTATTGGACTGCTGAATAAGAAAATACAGAGATGCAATGTCAGGTGCTGACTCCATTACTTTTCTGGGAACTACAGCACAGAGACTGTATTTGAGTTCTCTTGGTTCCAGTCCAAAGCCTGGCTAAGGGATCATTACTACCTGCTGCTGCTACTTTGGAAATGTAATATTTACACTCTGAAACTGTAGTATTTACACCTTCCTTGACAATAAACTAATTAGAAGTAAGAAGTGTTCTTGGATAACAAACATTTCCAACATGAATGGAAAGTTAATAAATACAACCTCTAAGAGTAAGCAAATGATACACTAGTTTCCCTGTGACAAGGAATTGAATTCCAGTGGAGAAGACGCAATAGAAATAGTGAAGGCATACTTCAGACCTTTTCAAAGGGTAATCAAAGAGTTTCTTCATCCTTAAAAGAGCAATAAGAAGGTGTCTACTACAGTCAGTGTACTGATTAAAACCAAAGAGAAAAGTTACAGAGCTGATAGAGAACAGTAGGGATTTAGGTGGTTGATAAAAGTGCACAAGCTTTTAACACGCACGCAGACACACACACATATACATGTTTAGCTTTACATATGAGAATCAAAACATGGGATTGCTAATGAGTGTAAAATCAGTCATATGCAGAAGCACTAGAGGAAGCTAGTCACATAGCAGTGTCTACCATTTATTGTGTGCTATGCTACATCACTGTATGGGAATTTAAAAATCCTGTGTTTCACCCACAGAAGCAGGGCATTAGAAAGAAAGCTCTCTTTAACAAATTATCAGTTTTCTAGACAGAATGCAAATCTTACCTTCCACCAGGACTGCTGCTGTCTTCACTGTCCCACTGCTCATTTTTACTTCTTGGAATTGGTGGCTGCAGCATCTCAGCAGCCAGGGGATCAGCATCATTCTCTTCACGACCAATCCATTCTCCAATCACACGAGGTCTGAGAAGGGGGGTATTAAAACCTGTTGTCTCCTAAAGAGAAATAAAAGCAAAAAAAAACAAAGCACCATACTACTTGTTCTCAATTACTAATGTAGATCTGAAAATAAGGCAATAAGATTACCGAAGAAACTAAAGAAATATTATACAATATGTTAAAATGTCAGAGGTCTAAGTAGCACCCAGAAAGAATCACAGACTAGTGAAAAGACATTTTCCATTAATAAAATTCCAAGAGAGATTTCCCCACCCTAGTGTCTCAAATATCTTCTTGCTTCTCAATATCAACTGTATAAAGCTGGAATTTATCATTTTTCATGAAAAATTATTTTGTTAAATAAATATGCAACACTTGGAATCCAGTTGGTGTCAGGCTAAGCAACAGATGAGGTCACTTGCATAATGAACATCACCACCACCAAAAGACTGTTGTAGATTAAGAGCATCTCTCCTATTTGCATTATGAATTAATGCAAGACTAATAAATACATCTGCATTTGGCATTTTAAAAATAACCCTGCTGGGATTTACATAATGTATCCTTCAATTCCAAAAATGGTATTAACATTTTAATAAAATGCGTTTCTGAAACTAGCACTCATATTTTTAACAGCTTACTGGAAGAAGATAGCTGAAGAGGATTACAAGAAGGAAGCAAAATAACTAGAATATTCAACACAATACTGGTGATTTGCATTGTTAGTTAGGAATTTAGGTTAAGGAAACAAAATGCACCTAGAAATTGTAGGAAAAAGCTGCTGCAAAGCAGTAAGAGTTTCTTCTATCAGTGTTATGAGGAAGGTTATAGAGAAAGGGTCATATGCTACAGTGTAATCAAACTACAAAAAAAAAAAAAAAAGCATAGATACTAGAAGGAGATACAGAAACAATGGAGCAGGAATATTCATTTTGCTTCAGTAAAACCTTTCCCAGGAAAACAAAGGCATTTCAAATAGTTTTTCTCATTAATAGAGATACAGTATTCCTATCCTTTAAAAAGAGAAAAATTTAGGGAAACAAACCCTTCTGGATCTCAATGTCTGAACAACGTTCCTTCCATAAAACAACATTTTCTAAATAAGGAGCTTCTGGAAAACTACTATACAGAGATTACTTAACCACATTTTCCTACCTTCCTGAAAACAATTTTAAAGTCCCTTTCTAATTGATACAGATACGGTAAAAGTCCAGTTTGAAGTAGAGGTCTACTGAAACAAAGAAAAAATAAAACCTATGTGTAAGCTGCTCCCATATGTATATACTTCTAAAACCTTGTCTAGAAGCTGTAATTTTGCTGAGCCAAATTCCAAGAGCTTCCATCCAACTGAGCCAAATACAAAATAGGCCCTGGATTAGATTCATCCATCCCTGTTATTTTGTTTTCTGCAGTGTGCCTATGAGTGCATTATCCCACTCCAGTCTATACATACACGCATCCAGACAACTAAATTCACTTTTCACACAATGTCTACTTTCTGCAAGGTAAGGCCACTGAAAATTAAATGCAACCAACAGAGAAGAGAGAAATCTGAGGAAAACACCATGACTGCAGAAGTTCTAGAATATCTAAACACTGGTGATTTTCTTTTATGTATTTAAAAATATGTTTTATGTATCTGTCTATTGCTGTGCCACAGTCCTGTAATGCAGTCCTTGTCACTTGACAGGTGATAGCTACCACAGGTGGCTTATCATTATAAAGCCCATAAGCTAGGAAAAAAAATTATTCCACCGCCCACAATACAAAGTGCCCTCATTACTTTATTTAAATAAGAATTATTTGGCCCCCATTTGAAAATTCTGTTACTTTAGTCATTTTCTTTCTTCCCCTTCTCCCCGTGTAATTTCCAATAATGAATTGTAAAGCGTTGTTGCTGCCAGTTAAACTTGCAACAACCAGCAGTGTCAATCTTGCTAAAAGCTGCCAGTTATCTACTTGAAAGAGGAAGAAAACTTAAAAATCTGTGTTTTTTCCAGTACTGAAACTTTTTTTCAGACACTGCACTACACCAGTCCATGAATAAGTAAAAAACAAATGTGTCTGCCCTTGTTATGCTGATTTCTTCTCTATGCATCTAAGGGGCTAAAGTAGTACTTTCATACTCTGCTTAGCAGAAGTGTAATTTATATTACATAGTCATGCTTTGCCTCACTTTATTACCTTACTTCCATTTTTGAATCTTGTTAATTAGTGCACCACAGTTTCAGTGACCTAGTTTATTTTCCTTTTTTCAACTACATAAACAGTAGCAGTGAAAACAGTAAATGAGTATCACAGACAGCTTTACTGAGAACACTGAGGCATTTATTTGGCACATTATTTCAAAAGATTTAATAAATTTACTTGAAGTACTCTGTCCTCAGACAAGTTCTAATACATATATATATTTTATGTTATAAACCTTAGAATCTTAACTGATTTTTTCAATTTACAGTCCTCCATAAATAAATGAAGAGATTGATAGTGACATGGGTGTGCACAGAAGCACAGGTAGATATTTAAATAAATTAACCTAGAGGGTTGTTTTATGGTGCAGTCCAGAATCATCTACCAATCACCCATATCAGCTTCTACCCACTTGACAGACTCATACCTCCTTCATGTAGAAACCAGGTGAAGGAGAGGAAAGCTAAAGGACAGCTAAAGCTCATCCTCAGATTGATTTGAGATGTGTTTGCAATACGTAGCCCCTATCAGGGAGCATAGCAACATTTGTGTATCCACTCATGTAAGCACAGCTTAAAAAACTCTCTATTTTTTATTGCCAAATAGATTTTGAGGAAACCTCCACAGTTACAAAGACTTTTGTAACAAATTTGTTTTCATAACCTAGTTATGGAAATGGAATTATGTCCTCCATTTTATTAATTATAACCTATGTTCACTGCATTAATTCTCCACATCAGAAAAAAGTACACCCTAGACGTAGCACAGAAAAAATGTTTGAATGACCTTCAGAGTTGAAATCCACTATGATTTATCTAACAAATCATGTTTACTCCTGTCTGATTCTGGATCTCTGACTCATAAGTGACTTCCCATTCTTAAAATTTAAGCTGACTGAACAAAACTGTTTGAAGTCCCTGACAAATCTCACAATTATATAGTAGGCCTCATATAATCTGAGAGAGCTCTGCAACATGAAGCTCAAGTAAAGCACCAATCCATGGAAACTAGGATTATGTGAAAATCTAATCTCCTATTTAAAAAGAAAATATTTTTGGTCTTTGTAGTAATTAAGTAAACAACACTTGGAAAACAACTGTAAAGTGTTTAAAGAATCAAAAGCCAGAAGATGAATAAACCTTTCCTTAAACCCTTTTAAAATGCTATACAATGTTATTTCAGTCGCTTTCTAACTGGCAAGAGGAAAAGTATGCGAGTCTCTGTTTGGAGCTTGGCCTGGTTCAGAAACATTGCTGCAAGGAGTACAAGCCCATTTGAAACACACTTCTGCACTGTAACATTCTGGCTATGTTTTACCTCAGCGTACCTTACAATGTACACATACTACAATGGAACACACACTACAGTTCACTTTGTGGCTTTCAGGTAAGTAGCATCTTCTAGGGGCTGCAAATTCTACAGAAGACAGCCAACAATCACCATGAGTGCCCTTATTCATAACTATTACAGCTTTCACTACCATACGGGAGCTTCAGCAGTAAGGCTAGTCCATGGCTGCTCTACATAAACATCTGTGTGCACCTGAGCTCTCACCTTCCAGGGACATGTCCTCACAGTGAACTTTAATGTTTTTCTTTAGCTTTTTTTTTTTTTTTTTTTAAACCAAACTAAAGTTCCATAAATTTCACAGAAAGGGTAACATTCTGGCTCAACTTCTTTATGTTTACAGAAAATTCTTGGCATTTATGAAGAGCTTTGGAAAATGCATGCTTTCACACACAGTTTCTGTTCGGCAGTAAAGAATTTGAATCATATTAACACTGCATGTTAGTCTTAAAAATCTGTGAGTCACAAGGCATCCCTTCTCACTTTCTTTCCTTACATACTGTACCTACAGCATCAGTTGCTGATTTTATATCACTTCCACAGCTTAGATAGAGAACTGGGCTGAATCACCAGGAGAAAAGAAACATCAAACTCTGCAAAACTGAAGTAAATGAAATGAAAAAGGAGGGAATCTGTACAGAATCATAGGGTTTGGAAAGGACCTCAAGAGGTCACTGAGTCCAACTTCCCTGCTAAAGAAGGTGCCCTACAAGACGTTGCACAGGTACAACCTGTAACCTGGTAACAGTACAAGAAATCTGGATCAAATGCAGAAGCCTCAGAGATTTTTTTGTGCAATTATACCTACAAAATACTGAAACTATATTAGACTTTCAAACTAAAAGCTTCCATTCTGATTGAAAGACTTGCCTTGTCTGTATTTGTACCTCTCTCTCGGTGTAAAACTGAGTACTGAACAGAGGCAATTGTAGTATTAGTTTAACAAGAGTCCATTTAAGAGAAACGTCTTTCCAGAAAAGGGCTTGCAATTCAGAGCAAACTGTATTTCCAGATTCAAATGCTTGAATAATTAAGCAACTACCAAGTTAACTGGATTGCTTAGAGGAAGAATTACATCAGCCAGCGATAACTGTTTGAGTACTCACCTGAGATAGCTGGCTAAAGGTTATTGCAGCCAAAATAAAATTGTTTTTTAAAAAATACATACTTAAAAGGAAAGAAAAATAAATATATATTCACATTGTCTATTTTCTCCTGGTTCATAATATATACCACAAATGAAATAGGAGAATTATGGTCTCTGTACTAATTTCCATGGTTGCTTCCAATTGTCAGAAAAAAAAAGGGGGGGCAAGGAAAAGCATACAGAAGAATTTATAATGATGTTTAATTTTATACCTCCTGTGACATCTAAGTAATGTCATTTTTATAAAGGACTCCAGTGTGAAGCATGGGACCTAACTGCTTTAAAACCCAGATCTGAGTGTGGTTTGAAAAAATATTCAGTACTGCTGCAAGCTAGATAAGAAAGCTGTAGTACCAGTATATACTTCTGGGAAGGGAATTTCAATGAACTTGGCTACATTATACGCATATAGCCACCCTGTTGTAGAGGGAAAGTGAGTTTAAGGACATGAATTTACACAGTTACGCTTCATAGAGCGGTCCCAGCCATGTTTAACTTCACCATACAAGTGTAGTGTTCAAATCCATTAAAAACCTTTAAAGGACAAAACAAGAAAGAATACTCATGTCCACTTATGCTCATGGAGACAAACACTGCAGATATTCTTTTCCTTTGAACATGGCTGTACAAAGGAAGTATGTTAAGTTTAAATATTCTAAATATTTTTATATTTTAAAATATATATTATTTAATATTTTAATTACTCAAATAATTTTTTATTCCAAGAGCATCCACTTTGCCTGTCCTCATCACATGTGAAATCTGATGCAATACTGTCAAATTAGAGTAAAGATCAGGCAGTGCATGCTTTTAACTGTATTTAGTATAACATCTAGCTTTATACGAAAACATTTCCTATTTGAAATCATAAACAATAGAACATTTGGTAATGAAAGGAAAATTAACTGTTCAATCAGATCGCAATAGGAGGAAATTCACTAATGATGCTCTCCACCTCAATTTTCATTAAATTATTACATTCCAGAACATGAATGTTTTTTGAACAATAAACATATTGGAAAAAAAATATATTTTCACACAAAAATTTAGCCTATATATGGAGAGAAGTATGTGATCATACGTTTTAGCTCAAAATGTCTTCTCCTTACCCCAAAACAGCTTTTCATAGTTTTTCTTTGTTTGTTTCATTTTGTTTTGGCTTTTTTTTTTTAACAAAACTAAATGAATACCAGTTCTTCACAATTACTCTTAATGGTAAGGGTTGTAATGGAAGGGCTTTGCTAATTGTATTTCTCAGCATTTCTGAGTACAGCTAAGGTAGGACGGAAGACTCAGATACAGCAAAACTGTGATCCAGCAAGACTGAGATCCAGCAAAAACAAGGCCTAAATGATAAATAAAAGTGATGGTTTTGAAATGGTAGCTCCACATGCCTAGAAATTCCTTATGCATTTTTGCATAAAGGGATTGTGCCCTCATCTTACCAAGAGAAAGTCATACATTTTAAGGATTGACATGATATGATAGACAATCTTGTGTCTTAAATACCCTTATCTCCATGACTGCAGTACTTTTTGACACCAAGAATACAACTTATCAGTCTCGGCACTGTAAGCACACTGCTTTTCAGAGGTGAGAATAGGAAAGAGAAAAGTGTACTGTTTCCTTCTGAACACGTATAAACTAACAGGAATACTGCTTCAACATAGAGTTCATTACAGCTAAAATAAAAGCTCATGTTAATGAATTTTTTAATTTATCAAAATGGCAACATATGAGGAAGCACTGTATGGTGCGTTCTGTAAGGAAGTGAAGACTGATCTTTATGGCTTGTGCGTTACCAATCAGAGTAAAAAATTCTCCTGATTATTTCCTCAAATTATAATATCTAATAGTACAAAAGCTACCTGATGATATAACTTCATGAATAAAAGATATTCAAAACGAAATGTTTCTAAAAGTACACCATTAAAGTAACCCAACAGACTGCATTAAGCAAAGAAGGTAACCAAGATCAGAAGCATCACAGCCTCATTAAGAGTGCCTCAAATCTCAGTGGTATAACTGTCAGCACAACTTGAATCAAGCTCTTAATGTATCAAGAACTACAGTACTTACCCATATAGGTTTTTATACCCAAACTTCCTCTAAACTCGACAGGAAGATTTAGCTCATATTGCCTACATTTATCATGATCATATGCCTGTTCGTACTGTTCATTAAGCATACAGTAAATCTTACCTTATCAAGTTCATCAGAAATAGCAATGCCTGAAAAAAAAACCAAAACAGATTTTAAAAAATAGAAGAATTTAGAAACATCCTCTCTCGAAATGTATTTTACTACAGTAAATAAAAGTAAGGCTCACTCTGAAAAGTTTCTATATTGTTCTCTGAGCACATCTGTATCATACGATGTATTAATATACTCTTAACTTTCCCAAGCTGCAATATCATCAAAATGAGTTTTAAAAGCATTTTGGATCAATACAATAGATGCACTAGTGAAGTGACAGTGAGCTTAAGTATACTTCTACATGTTTTCTAAAATTAAAACATCAGCTTAATAACTACACATGGACACATTCTCATGCAAACTTCTCCTTGACCAACGTGCACAGTAGCATACTGCAATTACAGGGGAAAATGAGTATGACTTCCCCCTCTTTTTCCATAGTTCAATGTAAAAGTATTTTTATGAAAACCGAAGAAATATACAGGGAGTAAAATCTGATTGCAAAATTTCACAGTACAATGCAAAACAGGGTTTGGTTTTTTTTTTCAATTCCTCTAAATAAGAACTTACTTGTTTTTGTCCTTTCTGCCAGTGTTGAGCCTTTCCTATGTTTGCTTTCATCATGTTGTAAAACTCCTTTAACTATGTCCAGCCTGTTGCATACTAAATGTGTACAGAGAATTTATGACATATCTACATGCCCCAGTCACATCACACTGTGAGATCAACTACTCATATGCCATCACACTGAAAATTCTGTCTCACTGAAAGCAAAGCACCTCCAGGTTCCTATTCAGTTTGATAAGAGAGATACTGAGCACAGAACTTCCAGTCAAAAAATGAAAAAAAGCATCTCCTGGTGTTCAGAAGAAAGCAGGGAAGTATCCACGCATAAGAAGAATGCATACTTAAAAGTCATTTCCTAATTCGTGTATGTCTTGATTATACTACAAAATACGTAGTTTCAGTACAGAGAACTATTCTTTCTAAAATCATGCTAAAAACTGAAGCAGTAAAAGCTTTTTTCCATGTTTTCATTTCTCACTATTTGGTAAACCTTAGTTACATTTTTTTTAATATTGAACATTTAATCATTAACTCTATGTGGCTAATCCTTAATTTAGATCGCTTCTTCATGTGTATTTATATTTCTAAAGCAATTAGAATCTTAAGACTTGATCGATCCATAAGAAATATGCAAAGAGCTAACAAAATATATTCAGTCATTCAACAGCAGCAAGGTAAATTATATTGAACAAGATCCATCTGTCTAACACTTCCATTCCTCACAGCTATTAACATATTCTAATAGCTTAAGACTTTTATTCAGGCCAGGCACTACGCTAAAGTCCATACAGTATAATCAGCAGGTTGCACCAATGTGCAAGAGGACTTCAATGCGTTATAAAATCTCATTTCTTCAATCCCCAAAGTTGCTGGGAATTTATTGGAGAGCAGATAAATGGAAGTAGTAAAAAATGCAATTTAAAGTTCTCTTTATATCTGCCCTGAAACCCTGATTTCCAAAAACCAGCTCTCCATCACATTTGGTTTATTTTGCACAACCAACATCAAACCACTTTACAACCACAAATGATCTCTTCAAACAGACAAATTATCTTTCCTCAGCAAGTTCCTATATTTTTAAGAAAGCTCATTTTGTTTTGATACAGGTTTATTTCTTCAGATTAGAGGTTGGTTCCCTCTCCATGAGCTTTCACAGAGGATGCTCTGTGAAAAGCAGAATTCTATGTTGAAACCTGGGAGCAAAGCCAGGAGTCAGAAAATAAGCAGATCATTACAGAACATAGAATGGCTGTTAGAATTTAAAGCATGAATAAATAAGAGCAATTTTTCACTGTGTTGGCTCACTGTTTAAGAATATTTATTTTCAAGTATGGCAAAAGAAACTACAAAAGGTAATCTGGTCATTTGCAAGACTCCATCACAAAAAACACTAAATGCTTTCACTACTGAAATGCTTATGCTGGTAAGTGAAGATCAATACTGGAAATACAAAATGGCAAATGGGAGAAACTGTGCACAACGATGCGCTCCACCCAAAAAGATCTACCAATTCATCTCATTGTTACATTCAGACAAATAAAACTGAAAAAAAAAAAAATCAAGATTTTAAAGGAGTGCTTTTATTGCAATGTGTTTTTGTGAAGCTCCACCATTTTCCCAAAATTTACTCTGAATTCAGAAGAGAGTAAGATCAGTAATTCAACTTATCAGAATAACTTGTGATTCCCTCCTGCCAAACTGCAGACAGTAGCTTGACATCAAACTAGCTATATTTCTTAGATAAGCAAGTAGATCTATCTGTACTGCAAGTAGCAGTATCTGAGGACATGTTACTAAAACAAGATTTAAAGATTAGAAAACTTATACCTGCAATCACAGAACCAAGCCTGAAAATCTTCTCATCTCTCTCTTTCTTTTCTCTTGATTCCACATTATAGAGAGAAAGTGGATTCTAAGAAAAAAGTTCATAAAGAGATTGTTACGGTAATCTCAGTATAGTGATTCTTCTGGAGGTGGGGGATTTACCATACTGTCACTCATGAAGATCTTTAAGTTATGGCTTAAGGCCCATAAAAAAAAGCCTGATAGTCAAGATAGCAGTGATGAAGTCACTGAAAGAAGCCTATGGGCAATCAAAAGGGACTTCAGAAGACTGGTCTGTTAATGAACAGTGCAGGAGCGTAGGCAGTGTTTTCCTCTATCCCTTCAGTGGCAGAAAGGGATACTGAGAGGCCCAGAAAAACTCATCTGATGAATACATGGCTAGGAGGTTGGTACCATCACAGGAATTTTGGCATTTTCAACTACAGAGCAGTTGTGAGAAGGCAGAACAATTTTTGGCTCAAAACTTGTTCAGTCTGAGACATAACTGCTTGGCAAGCTTTTGTGGTTAATGGTTACCATGATCACAGTAGTAAGAGAAACACACGCGGCAAGGCAACCAGGAGAAACCATTTTTGGTTGTTGCTCCTTTTGGGCATCCAGGCTGACTTATGGAGGTTGTGTCAGAGGAGTGGACCACCATACATTCAATGTGCATACCTAGTAGCTCACCACGTGACAATTCTGTGATCAACTGCCCATTACCCAACAGGAGCAGCACATACAATGAACACGCTGTTGACCCTGACAACTAAAGCAAGCAATGGCGCCTCTCCTGACGAACCAAACAGAAGTGCCCCTGACAACCAACTGCTGCCACTGGCAACCAAAATGACAGTATGAGGAGGATAAAAACCCCAAATGTTCCAAAATAGAAAGGGTACCCCCTCCACGAATTGCAGCCATGCAGGGAAATGAGAAGTCACTGATTAACCTGCAAACAACAAGATGTCACTGGATCCCTAGTGATGACTATCCTCACTTCATAAACCATTACCATGACTTCTCTCTTTACTATCACTAAATTTCCCACCTTCTCCACATTCCTTAGGCTGCTTAGAATTTGTAATAAACCAGCTGCCCCTGAAGAATGGCCATGAGTAAGTCAAAAGCCTTTGAGCAAGAGAGATTGAGACAACAACGGGAGCCTTGTGGTTGGGGTCTACTACAGGCCACCCGATAAGTGGAGCATGTTTACGAAGCCTTTTTCCTGCAGATACAGGAGTCACATCTGCAGGCTCTCTTTCAAGTGGAGCACTGCAACCTCCCAGACAATTGCTGGAAAAGTAGCACAGCAAGTTGTAAGCAATCCAGTAGTCTCCTGGAATGTACTAAGGATAATTTCCCAAGCCAGGTAACTGTACCAGTGGAGGAATGCAATGCTGGACCTGTTGCCTACTTATGTGAGTGAACTGATTGGTGATATTAGGATCAGAGGCTGCCTGGGCTGTAGTGACCGTTCAATAGTGGAAGTCCCACTCCTGAGGGATCGAGAAGCTTAATTTTAGGAAAGCCAACTTTCAAGTTTTCAGTGAGTTAATCAACAAAACCCTCTGAGAACCTGTCCTCAAGGACAAGGGAGCAGAGCAGAGATTGGAGATTTTTGAGACAGCTTTCCTAAGGGCACAAGAGTTCTCCATCTCCAGGTGGAGAAAGACAGGAAAGGAGGTTAAGAGATTGGCATGGCTGAACAGGGCCTGCTGGTCAAACTGGAGAGCAATAAGAAAATGCACAGACAGAGAAAACAGGTAATATGGGATGCTGTTAAGCTATGTTGAGATGGGGTCAGGAAGACCAAAGCCCAACTAGAATTGGACTTAGCAGGAGGCACAAAGAAGGATAAGAAAGGCTTCTATAGGTACATCAATTGGAAAAGTAAAGTTCAGGACAGCATACCCTTCCTAGGGTACCTACCCTGCAGTATAGGCAGGCTAGTAACAACAGACAAGAAGAAGGCAACTTTTTCGCCTGAGTATTCATCAGTGGACAAAGAAAGAGCCACTGATGTCATCCATGGAGAATTCAGTAAGGCCTTAGACACGGTCCCCCATAACATCCTTCTCCCCACACTGAAAAGATATAGGTTTGATAGGTGGACTCTCCAATGGATGAGGAACTAATTGTGAGATCATACCCACAGAGCAGTGGTCAATGGCTCAATGTCTGGATGGAGATCAGTGACAAGTAGTGTCTCTCAGAAGTCAGTACTGGGACAAGTGCTCTTTAACATCTTCATCAATGTATTGACTGTGGGATCGAGTGCATCCTCAGCAGATGACACCAAGTTGTGCGGTGCGGTCAACACACCTGAGGTATGGGATGCCATCCATAGAGACCTAAACAGGCTCAGTGGGCCCAGGTGAACCTCATGAGGTTCAACAAAACCAAGTGCAAGGTCTTCCACCTGGGTCATAGTAACTTTCACTATCGGTACAAGCTGAAGGATATAAGGATAGAGCACAGTACCTGGGGTACTGGCAAGCTGGACATGAGCAAGCGATGTGTCCTTGCAGCCCAGAAAGTCAACCATACCCTGGGCTACATCAAAACAAGCAGATTAAGGAAGATGATCCTGCCCCTCTGTGCTGGTGAGACCTCACCTGAAGTACTGAGTCCACATGTGGAG